TTKKTTTTWWAAAAATCAATTTAAAAATTWAAAAAAAAAKAAGARTGAGCACAGTTCCAGGCTCCCCAGGGTCAGGCATAAGTCCCGACAGCCCAGCGGAGACTGACCCTCTGCTGACCGATGGGTGTCCCCCTGCCCTCAGGTATGCTGGCTTCCTCAAGGGGCTGATGCAAATCTTTGCACACATAGCAGGAGCCATCTCGCCCACCGTAGCAGGAGTGCTCATCAACCAGGTGAGGCCAAACGTTCTGATGAATGTCCATAAAAGGAACTCACAAAGGTTGCACCACAGCCATTAAAGCAAGGGTGTTTGTGTTCCCTCCTTGATGGGGCTCTTCAAACTCTAGCATCCTGAGCACCTCACATGTCCTCATTACTGCCCCAGGCTGACCTCRTCCAAGGAAATGGCCACCTTCTTGGGATGTGATGGTGAATGCTCACGGTTATGTTTATGCTTTGTGAGTCCTTGCAAAATGAGCTTCTCAAGATAAAAAGCAAAATCTCCAGGGATATTTGACAGTCATATTTGCAAAGTAGAGTGGCCATCCATCCCGGTTTGTCTGGGTGCAGGGCTGTCAGCGTTAAAGCCTTGAAAGTTCAAGGCCACCGTTGTAGAGTGAGCCGGTCACTCTACAGAGTTCACAGGATGAATGGGCCAGATGCCACGTGGGTGGCAGCTGGCGGTGGCAGGTGGAGGAGCAAGCTCAGGAGCTGCCAGTGCAGAGACGGCTGTGGCCAGTGTTCCCTGTCCAGGGCCTTTCCTCTGCACAGCCCTCCTCCCTGGGAGATGCACGAGAAGGAGTCAGACCAGCAAAGTCACCTGATGACTCGCGCCTTCTCCGGATCTTATTGACACAGCCTTTACATAAATACGGGTGTGACACTTGTTTGTCACTCTGTGACCTGCTTGTCACTTACTGGTTTCCTTCAGGAAAAACAAGTGGGCATAACAAAGAAGGGAGTGTTTTGTTTGGAAGTTGCAGTTCTTTTCTAGCYACTGACACATTGTTGGGAAATGTTTTTTGGTTCTTTTTTTAAATAGAAATTCTCAAACTGACCTTGTTTCTCCTGCTATTGATTGATTGATTGACTGATTGACTGATTGATTGATTCTTTCAAGGCATATATATTGGATGTGCCTGTATTGCTTAAGGGAATAAATCAAACCAGAGTCCCTCTCCTTGTGAAACCTACACTATAGGAAAGAGACAGAAAACCAGGGTAAAATGCATGACTGAYGGAGGGGGGTGAGAGCCGAGAGAGTGGAACGTTTTACATGTGTACATTTTACCATGGTACACATGCCAGGGACTGGAACTTCAGTTAAGTGGGGTGCTCAAGGCAGGACTCCCTGAGAAGGTAGCTCTTAACCAAGGGGTGGGAGGAAGTGAGAGTGAGCCAAGTGGGTATCTGAGGGAGGGCGACCCGGGGAGGAGGGCGACCTGGGGAGGAGGGTGACCCTGGGGAGGAGGTCAGAGCATTCTCTCCCACATCAGGAAAGCCACTGCACATCCCAGGAACAGCCAGAGGCCCCAGAGGCTGGAGCAGGTGCGGGGAGCAGCAGGGCAGGGCCACCATCTCTGAAGCAGAAGGGTGAGGACCACGTGGCCATTACTAACTCCCAGTTCCCTGTCTCCAGGATCCAGAGGTTGGCTGGAGAAACATGTTCCTGCTGGCCGCTGCCGTCAACATCTCAGGTCTGGTCTTCTACCTCATCTTCGGCCGAGCAGAAGTTCAGGACTGGGCCAGAGAGCGGAGATTCACCCACCTCTGAACAGACAGAGTGRCGTATGCACTCCCTCACTTCGCATCCACTGCTGTCCCCCACRGACCTTCCCCTCTGAGCCTGCGTGGCTGGCTAGCCCCGTGACGGGAACTGGCTTGGTTTTCAGTATCTCCTCATGTCCTGGCCTCTGTAATACTGAAGATTTTACCAGGCTGGGAGATTTTACAGAGGAAACCCTAGGTGTGACTCTTCATTTCCCAAACAATGGAAAGTCCCGAAACAATGGAAAGTGCCCCAGACCAGGGGACCTAAGCAGGCAAAGTCCCTCTCATGTTGAGGCAGGAGGGAATCAGGCCCTTCCGAGGCACAGTGTGGGTACGATGTCTGCATGAAAACCTGCAAGGAGACAAGGATGACAGARAGTGAATCCATCTCAACATCTGAACGTCCTGCTGTAGTGTGGGCAGCAGGTGTGGGCTCTTCCGAACTTGCTCTCTGGGAATGCCAGCTCTCGATCGGGATCAGCTCGGTCGTATCTCCTTGCTCAGGTGCTCTGTGGATCCAGCTCGTCCATAGCCGCCATCTTTGTGGCCATCTTGACTTTGGTCCTGCATCTGGTGTGTGGGTCCGGACAGATCACTGGCAGCTTAGTGGATAAACATCGTCCAGTTTCTCTCCTGTTCCCACAAACATATCTTCATGAAGATCCATCTTAGATGTTCTGCATTTGCTTCTGACCTTTGGGACCTTGCCATCATTGTGCCACATTCAGTATTCCAAAAAACTATATAAGACCACACTGGCTTGATCCCAGTCCAGGGGTCAGGGAGWGTCCTAGTGCGTCTGCTCTCAGTGAGCCCCCACATGGGCAGTACAGGGGCCATGAAAGAGATCAAAAATTCAAGAACTCAGTGAATATTGTGAACGTGTATTCATTGCTCAGGGGGTGCATAGCAGAAAAAAAAATCATACACAGCTCAAAGSAGCTCAGTATCTCAGAAGGCAGCTGGCCTTAATCAAGTATCACACAAATGAATGTGTAATGACAACCGTGGGAATTGAAGCAATGGGGGACATGCACTAGGAGAGTGAGTGAGGTGCATGTGCAGTGACGTAGGCAAGAGAGGTCACACACRAAGCTCCAGATGGGATCTGGAGGTCAAGTGTTAACTGTGGCAGGAGGCCCACGGGGAGAATGTCCTAGGAAGGGGCACAGTGTAAGCCAAGGTTTGGTGGCGAGAGAGAGCAGTCAGGCGTGGCCAGAGTGCAGAGAACAAGGAAGGCAGGGTTGGTGAGTAGGCTGTGGGTTCCTAAGGGCTAGAGCACCCAGGTACTGGGACCGAGCAAGAAAGCACTAGATCAGGGGGAAGTGGGTTAGTGGGTTAGTGGGAAGGACAAGATCGGCGTTCTGAGTTTTGGAAGTTGTTCTGCATGAGGGAGCAGGAAGGAATAGGGATTCCCAGTGAACTTCCTCAAGTGATAGGGTGTCTCTGGAGCCACCGAATGATCAACCAGACCACAGCTGGACCAAGGCTGCATAATTACCCAGACCTCTCGCCCCCACCCCAGTTCTTCCTGTTTCAACCTGCAGCTCCTGTCTGTGCCCCAAGACAGGGATCRGATGCAGGACCTCGCCTTGCCTTCCCAGTGTGGCCCAACTGGACCAATTCCTCTTCCTGCTTCTCTGTTTGAGTTTTGGGGTGAATGACTGCACCTGGTTGGTTAGAACCCTGAAGACAGGTGTCTGGCCCAGGACTCYGGTGACACTATGAGCACAGTCAGGGGAAAAGCAAGGCCAAGAAAAAGAGCTCTGCTACACATCGTTAGGTGCTGCTGTTCCCAGAGCCTCCCACCTCCTTGCCTGTCACCTGCAAGGCAAGCTCAGAGGTCCCAGGGGCCTACACCTGTCACCAGGTGGCCACAGCAGCTCAAGCAGACCTGGCCCAGCCAAGGAACAGTTGTCAGAAACAGAAAGGGCTCCACATTTTRAAGAGGAAAAGGAAGCAGAGAAGGAATTCGGGTGTAAGTGTGGAAGTGGACACAYCACAGAAATGTAAAATATTCTATAAAACTTCTGAATTACTCGAGCAGGCAGGAGGGCAGCAGCAGGAGGAAGACCACCAAGATAAGGAGGAGTTTCTTCAAGGAAGCAAATCAACTCAGGAAAATGAGGTACATTTGCAAGGTCAGACGCAGTTGGATTTGATGCATCTAGACCAAAGGGACAGCTCTCAAAGCAGTGAAATAATTGAAGACACTTATATGTTCTTTTCGAAAAACACTTATTAAGTGAAATGATTTGGAAAGGTGGAATTTAGAAGCGATGTAAATTAATCCAGAATCGTCAGACTTTTACACACATACACACACACACACACACACAAACTCATAATTTAGCGTTGCCATATCAATAGCAGAAAGTAAATTAAAATCAAAAAGTAGAAATCACAGGATAGAAAAAGCTGATAAAATCATAAAATCAAAATACAGCAGGGACACCCAACACTTGTTTCTTGACGGTTGCCAAACTGCCCGTGAACTCCCGAGGAGCAGTGCCCGTGACCACGCGGTCTCCAGAGCCGATTTCCTCCGCCTCTCTTCTTCCTCTAACTCTTCCAGGACTTGAAGCTCATTTACAAAACAAACCTCCCTTACCCCCACTGCTTCCAGAGAGAAGGGTAGCCCCAGAGAAGGTCCCGCCCGGAGGCCTTCTGAGCCTGAGCTGTGGAAATAACTGGATGGAACCCTAAGAAGGCGCCTGCCTGTCTTCCTTGGCTTGGCTCCCGTGGGCTTGCTTCCAGGGAGTGGGTTTTTTGCCAGTTCCTAGGTCAGGGCTTCCTTTGGTTTTGTCCAAGCTGATAGAATAAATTCTGAACACTGGCCTTATTGCTGAGGCTGTGGGGAAAGAGGTCGCACGTGTTTTGGGAGCAGAAAGACACCTTCATGGCAGTCAGTGAGGACAGGGTACGGCGACTTTGCAAGTGCCCAGGACGGTCTCCTGTGAGCTTTCTCTGTTTTTTGCTGGGTCAATAGTGAATATGCCAGACGTATTTGGGACTGAATACTAAATAAGAAGGTAGATATGAGATAGCCAAGCCAGCTCTCAGTCTTATGGGGTTGACAGACACACCAGAAAATTAGGTGTTAACAAATGAGCCAATCTTTAAGGCTACGGAATTAAGATGATTCTTAATTAGGAGATTAGGAAGTCAGTCCAGCTTTCTAAGACTGTGTGTTCAGCAGAGATACCAAGGAACCAGAGCTGGATGAGACCATGTCACTTAAATCAAACCCATGACAATATCAGGGACTCTCGGCTGGAGATGTGGCTCAAGTGGTAGCGCGCTCGCCTGGTGTGCGTGCGGCCCGGGTTCGATCCTCAGCACCACATACCAACAAAGATGTTGTGTCCGCCGAGAACTAAAAAATAAATATTAAAAAAAATATTCTCTCTCTCTCTCTCTCTCTCTCTCTCTCTCTCTCTCTCTCTCTCTCTCTAAAAAAAAAAAAAAAAATCAGGGACTCTCCCAGGTGATAAAGGACAAAGTCCAGCTGTGAGGGCCATGTACACGCACTGAACTATCACTGCAGAAACCTCTAGTTACTGCTCCTTATTAGCATAGGAGACCCACACCCAGGTGGAGACAGGTGGTGTTGACACACATCTCCTGAAGAGGCAGGTGAGGCAGAGAGGGCGACTAAGCCCACCTCTCTGTGTGATGACATCACGGGCCTGGTCCCTGTCCACCCATTGACATCAGGAGCTGTCCACCTCTGTCCTTCRAGGCAGTCTTGGATTCTGTCCCCACACGCTGCCTCCCTTACTCCAGAGCCTAAGAATCGACTTGCTCCTGCCTCGGCTGGACTTGGACATGCTTCTTCTGGCGGAGAGCACAAGACCCCAGGGAGAGGGGACAGCAGGAACCAGGTGCTGGTGCTCCTGTGGCTGTCATCTTGTCCCCGTCACCCTCTTCTGCTCTTCTCCTCTCAGTTCCCCGTGGCCTGGAGAAAGGACTGTCTCTTCCTGAAGGAAACAGACATGGGGAAGAGCTCTGCGGGGGGTGCCACCTGGAGATCCGTTAGCAGCCAGGGGCCAGCGAGGCTCCAGGTCTTCCCCAGGAGGGAGAGGAGAACACACACAGGATGGAGCACAGTGCTCTGCCAGGTGTGATTGTTTTTAACAATCCCAGGGCTGGGCACCGTGGCGCACACCTGTAGTCCCAGAGGCTGAGGAGGCTGAGGCAGAAGGATTGCGAGTTCACAGCCGGCCTCAGCAATGGCGAGGCACTAAGCAACTCATGGAGACCCTGTCTCTAAATAGAATGCAAAATAGGGCGGGGGGTGTGGGCCAGTGGTCAAGGGCCCCTGAGTTCATTCCCCAATATCACTCTCCCCCCAAAGAAAAACCTCCCCCGCCCCCGTCTCCTTATCGTCTCATCCTCTTTTCTGCAGTGTCCATCTTGATTTTTAATATTCTTTCCCACAACCTTCCGCTGTCTGAGCATATCCTATCCCCTGCTGCTCTGAGCTCCTGTGGCCTGCACTGACCTGTCCAGCCACAGTCTAATGGCTTTGCTAGTTTGTAGGTTCATTTTGTACTATAAGCTTTCAACTTAGGTCTGCTTTGTGGAGATACTTTTCTGGTAAGTTTTCCTCTTTTAGAATAATCACGTGCTCTCTTTCTTCATTTTTTCATCTCGTACCTTTGTATAGCACCAAACTACATTTCTAGGTTTGGAGGGTCTTTTTTCTTTCTTGCAACTCATTAAAGATTACATTCTCATTTGCATGATTTCTGATAATAAGTCTGCTCTAATTCTTATTCTTGTTCCTCTGAAAGTGAGGTATTTTTTCTCCTTTGGATTCATTCATGATGCTCTGTTTGTCTGGGCATGGTTGCACACATATAACTCCAGAGATTCTGGAGGCTGAGGCATGAGGATCTCAAGTTCCAGGTCAGCCTCGGGAATTTAGCAAGACCCTTCTTAGCGAGACCCTGTCCCWAAGTAAAAACTGAAAAGGGAAGGGGATGTGTCTTGGTGGTAAAG